CCAAGGACTGTGTTGGGCCCCCAGATATGCAGAGTCACCACCTCACACAGTACGATGTCTCAGTGTCTCCAGATCGGAGCGCAGTGCAGGGTCCTTCTTGGTTCCTATTGGGGGTCCCAAGTATGAGTCTCTGGGGCCCCCGATCATAAAGTTGTAAGGAGCCTGAGTGCAACGCTTGGGCTTTGCTGGGGCCCCAGTCATCATTGTACGCAGCATACCGTCTCACAGGTCCAGTACAGTGCAGGGTTCGTGGTGCCTGGTGGGACCCCAAATAATTAAAGTCACCATTGCATACAGCAGTTGTCTCAGGGGCCCCATGTCATAGACGCGTCCGGGGCCTCGGGCCAAAGACGCGTCCGGGGCCTCGGGCCAAAGACGCGTCCGGGGCCTCGGGCCAAAGACGCGCCCGGGGCCTCGGGCCAAAGACGCGCCCGGGGCCTCGGGCCAAAGACGCGCCCGGGGCCTCGGGCCATAGACGCGCCCGGGGCCTCGGGCCATAGACGCGCCCGGGGCCTCGGGCCATAGACGCGCCCGGGGCCTCGGGCCATAGACGCCCCCAGGGGCCTCGGGCCATAGACGCCCCCGGGGCCTCGGGCCATAGACGCCCCCGGGGCCTCGGGCCAAAGACGCGCCCGGGGGCCTCGGGCCAAAGACGCGCCCGGGGCCTCGGCCAAAGACGCGCCCGGGGCCTCGGGCCAAAGACGCGCCCGGGGCCTCGGGCCAAAGACGCGCCCGGGGCCTCGGGCCAAAGACGCGCCCGGGGCCTCGGGCCAAAGACGCGCCCGGGGGCCTCGGGCCAAAGACGCGTCCGGGGCCTCGGGCCATAAACGTGTTAGGTGCACCTTTTTTCTTCCACACTTTTCCCTTCCACATAACTTCCTATTAATGGGCTTTGATGCAGCACTTTGGGAACATCCAACTTCTTCTGCAATTCCCTTCTGAGGCTTTCCCTCCTTATGGAGGGTGTCAGTGATGGTGTCAGGTCAGCAGTCTTTCCCATGATTGTGATTCCTACTGAACCAGACTGAGAGACCATTGAAAGGCTCAGGAACCCTTTGCAGGTGTTATGGCTGAATGAGCTGATTAGAGTGGGACACTTTGAGCCGAGATTATTCCACCTTTTCACAATATTCTCATTTTCTGAGATTGTGGATTTGGGGTTTTCATGAGCTGTAAGCCATAATCATCACAATGATGACAAATCACGGCTTGAACTATCTTGCTTTGCATGGAATGAGTCTCATATATTAGTGTCACCTTTTAAGTTGCTGCACTGAAATAAATGAACATTTGCACCAGATTCTCATTTTTCAAGTTTCACCTGTATATCTACACCGTGTTCTGCATTATTCTGCAAATGATATTTTTCTGATTTCCCTCAATAATTGATGTAAATAAGTCGGCAGAATTCTCAGGTGACAACTAGAAGAGGACAATTCACATTTTATTGAACGAACCTCCTAATGATAACAGGATTTGTGTTCCGGATTATTCCGCACAGGAAGTTTCCAAACACTTTCTAGGTTGTAAAAGAACTGAAAATTGTCATTTGTTGTGTTTGCAGCAAATTTACTGAAATCAAAAGCTATTTCAGTCCAACTTTTCCCAACATTGTAACTTTGTAACCATTTGAAGCGGTCACGTTACATTGTAACATAGGAGCCCTTATCTGATAGCAGATCACAAGTCTGGCATCCATTGAACTTGGCAGTTTTTGGACAGTTTCTGCTGGAATTTGTTTGCAAGATGTCAGAATAGCCTCCCAGAGCTGCTGTTTGGGTGTAAACTGCCTCCCACCTCATAGATCTTTTGCTTGAGGATGCTTCAAAGGTTCTCAATAGGATTGAGGTCGGGGGAGGATGGAGGCCACACCATGACTTTCTCTCCTTTTATCCCCATAGCAGCCATTGATGCGGAGGTATTCTTTGCAGCATGAGATGGTGCATTGTCATGCATGAAGATGATTTTATTACGGAAAGCATAGTTCTTCCTTCTGTACCAGGGAAGAGAGTGGTCAGTCAGAAACTCCACATACTTTGCAGAGGTCATCTTTACACCTTCGGGGCCCCTAAAGGGGCCGACCAGCTCTGTTGCCATGATTCCGGCCCAAAACATGACTCCACCACCGCCTTGCTGACGTCACAGCCTTGTTGGAACAGGGTGGCCGTCCACCAACCATCCACTACTCCATCCATCTGGACCATCCAGGGTTGCACGGCACTCATCAGTGAACAGGACTGTTTGAAAATGAGTCTTCATGTATTTTTCTGCCCAATGCAGCCGTTTCTGCTTGTGAGCATTGGTTAGTGGTGGCCGAATAGAAGGTTTCTGCACAGTTGCAGGACTCTGGAGGACTCTACACCTTGATGTCCGTGGGACTCCAGAGGCACCAGCAGCTTCAAATATCTGTTTGCTGCTATGTAATGGGATTTTAGCAGCTGCTCTCTGGATCCGATGCCCTGGATCTGGCAGAAATCTTCCTCGATGTGCCTTTATCTGCACCAACCCGTCTGTGCTCTGAATCAGCCACAAATCTCTTCATAGCGCGATGATCACGCTGACGTTTTCCTGAAATATCGAATGTTTTCATCCCTCGTCCAAGGCATCGAACTATTTCACTCTTTTCGGCAGCAGAGAGATCCTTTTTCTTCCCCATATTGCTTGAAAATGGCGCTCTGCTTAATAATGTGGAACGCCGTCCTTTAGTAGTTTTTCCTTCAATTGGGCTCACCGGCCAATCTAATGATCACAGGTGTCCCAGATTGTTTTCAGTGATCAAAAGAGCCCTGACACACAATGCCATCCATGAGTTACACTGAAAAACAAAATATTTCATCTTTGTGACACTTAAATAGAATTTGCAGAATAATTTTGAACAGGGTGTAGTGAATGCGGGGTCCGGGGAGAGCGGATATAGTGAATGCGGTGTCCGGGGAGAGCGGATATAGTGAATGGCGGGATCCTGGGAGAGCGGATGTAGTGAATGCGGGGTCCGGGGAGAGCGGATATAGTGAATGCGGGGTCCGGGGAGAGCGGATATAGTGAATGCGGGGGTCCGGGGAGAGTGGATATAGTGAATGCGGGGTCCGGGGAGAGCGGATATAGCGAATGCGGGGTCCGGGGAGAGCGGATGTAGCGAGTGCGGGGTCCCGGGAGAGCGGATGTAGCGAGTGCGGGGTCCCGGGAGAGCGGATGTAGCGAGAGCGGATATAGCGAGTGCGGGGTCCCGGGAGAGCGGATATAGCGAGAGCGGATATAGTGAATGCGGGGTCCGGGGAGAGCGGATATAGCGAGTGCGGGGTCCCGGGAGAGCGGATATAGCGAGTGCGGGGTCCCGGGAGAGCGGATATAGCGAGTGCGGGGTCCGTGGAGAGCGGATATAGCGAGTGCGGGGTCCCGGGAGAGCGGATATAGCGAAATGCGGGGTCCGGGGAGAGCGGGATATAGCGAGTGCGGGGTCCCGGGAGAGCGGATATAGCGAGTGCGGGGTCCCGGGAGAGCGGATATAGCGAGTGCGGGGTCCCCGGGAGAGCGGATATAGCGAGTGCGGGGTCCCGGGAGAGCGGATATAGTGTCTGTCACCCTTCATTCATCCGGCTGACATAGACAGCTGTTCCTCTAGCTTCTTGATTCCTGGCCCCATGGACTCGGTATCCCTGTTACCCATTTTGGATTCCTGTCCACTTTAACCATTTATCTAGGCGGAACCGCACCTTCTGGTCATATGTTCTCTAGCGCTCCTCATACACTTTGCATTTTCTGAGGTTCCCTCTTACCTTTCATTCCCTTACTTTATTGAATGCCCATAATGACTGGCCAGTCTTCTCTCCATGTGCCTATACCCCCTTACCTCTGGATCTACAACCGCACATGTGTGCTTCATGTAACCTGTTAACCAGCACTGCTCTCTTCCTTCCTTTTCTCACTCCGATATGCAGTGACAACATACCAGTCAATACAGTTCGATTAAGGGGAGTAAAATAGGTATCCTTTGTCCCGAAAATGCCTTACCGATCGAGGAAGTCTGATATCTCAAATGTAAGCAAAGGGCTCAGATTCTCAGGGTTGCCTGGAAATCATCTTCCTGGCTGGCTTGCCATTTGTTCTGGAATTGTTATCGATGGACAACTCCTTTCCTCACTGATTAGCGGTTCCAAATCAATAACTACGGCTGTTGGGAACAGACACACAAGGTACAGTCAGCATCTTTCCAAATGACTCCCCCTTGGTCTCTGGGCCCACGCCCTCTCCCCCTTGGTCTCTGGGCCCACGCCGTCTCCCCCTTGGTCTCTGGGCCCCACGCCCTCTCCCCCCTTGGTCTCTGGGCCCACGCCCTCTCCCCCCTTGGTCTCTGGGCCCACGCCCTCCCCCCCTTGGTCTCTGGGCCCACGCCCTCTCCCCCTTGGTCTCTGGGCCCACGCCCTCTCCCCCTTGGTCTCTGGGCCCACGCCCTCTCCCCTTGGTCTCCGGGGCTCCTCTCTCCTACCTGCATGCCTGGGAGCCCCATTGTGGGCGCCACTGGGTAGAGAACTGCAAAGGCCAGCTAGTAAGAACAGGGAAGTGGTGTCCTGAGCTAACACCGCATGGGGTGACAATATTTGGAACTACCACCATTTTATTCTCCAGAGTCTTTGGGTTCAGGGTCCCAATCAGAGCTCCTCCTTTTATATGAAGGTTCCCCCTTCAGGGCCTCCCATTTGACCCCCCCCCCCCCCCCTTTATATCAGGGTACCCATCAAAGGAGACCAACTGATCTGGGGTGTCAGTCTGTGCACTTGTACTGATCTGCATGTGGCCCTCGGGCTGTATTTTGGAGGCCCCTGGCACGGTGTGGGGATTCTGCAGCCCGCAGAGGCAGATTTGCCCAAAGATGGACTTTTTGTATGATTAAACCCAACCATCCCCCGATCAGAAAACTTACATTTCTTTGTGTCCTTTCTTGCAGGAATATGCGGAACTGACCTTCCTCCCAACTCACTGAATTCCACACCAAAGAAGGGATGGCGGTCCGTCTGATCCAGCGCGTGTCCCGTCTGCTGGCAGCGCCAGTCTCCTTCCATCCCCCGCCCGCCTCCGCCCCCTCAGAATGTATGAGATTGTGTCAGTATGCCCCGTGCTTCCCCTGCCAGGCGGCCCTGCACACCTCCTCCCTGCGATTCCTGGTGGGGGACCTCCTAGAGCCTTCCCGAGACCTCCAGGAGCCTCTCCGAGACCTTCCAGAGCCTTCCCGAGACCTCCAGGAGCCTCTCCGAGACCTTCCAGAGACCTCCTGGAGCCCCCCAGAGCCCTCCCAGAGCCCCCTCACTTCTCAGAAGGAGTTCTTGTTCATGTTGCAGACTTTGTCGGGGGTGGAGGAACTGCTGGAGATTTCCAGAAAGCCAAATCTGTCCGCCAACAGGAAGGTGATGATCATCCAGGAGATCGCACAGAGGCAAGACGGGGATAATGGGCGGGTCTTGGAGGAGCCCAGATTCCAGGATCTTCTGTACAATGTAACTAGTCAGGTAAGACCCCCCCCAGAGCTGCCACCAATGTAACTAGTCAGGTAAGACACCCCCCCCCAGAGCTGCCACCAATGTAACTAGTCAGGTAATACCCCCCCCCCAGAGCTGCCACCAATGTAACTAGTCAGGTAAGACCCCCCCCCAGAGCTGCCACCAATGTAACTAGTCAGGTAAGACCCCCCCCCCAGAGCTGCCACCAATGTAACTAGTCAGGTAAGACCCCCCCCCAGAGCTGCCACCAATGTAACTAGTCAGGTAAGACCCCCCCAGAGCTGCCACCAATGTAACTAGTCAGGTAAGACCCCCCCCAGAGCTGCCACCAATGTAACTAGTCAGGTAAGACCCCCCCAGAGCTGCCACCAATGTAACTAGTCAGGTAAGACCCCCCCAGAGCTGCCAATAATGTAACTAGTCAGGTAAGACCCCCCCCCAGAGCTGCCACCAATGTAACTAGTCAGGTAAGACCCCCCCCAGAGCTGCCACCAATGTAACTAGTCAGGTAAGACCCCCCCCAGAGCTGCCACCAATGTAACTAGTCAGGTAAGACCCCCCCAGAGCTGCCACCAATGTAACTAGTCAGGTAAGACCCCCCCCCCAGAGCTGCCACCAATGTAACTATTCAGGTAAGACCCCCCCCCCCCCCCAGAGCTGCCACCAATGTAACTAGTCAGGTAAGACCCCCCCCCCCCAGAGCTGCCACCAATGTAACTAGTCAGGTAAGACCCCCCCAGAGCTGCCACCAATGTAACTAGTCAGGTAAGACCCCCCCCCAGAGCTGCCACCAATGTAACTATTCAGGTAAGACCCCCCCCCCCCCCCCCCCCCCCAGAGCTGCCACCAATGTAACTAGTCAGGTAAGACCCCCCCCCCCCCAGAGCTGCCACCAATGTAACTAGTCAGGTAAGACCCCCCCAGAGCTGCCACCGATGTAACTAGTCAGGTAAGACCCCCCCAGAGCTGCCCCCATACAATTCGCTCTCTGACCGAGTTTTGGAGTGACTCTCGAGGTGAAGGCCGTGTTGTTCCTTTTCGTATTTTTATTACAGGGAAAATCATGAAGCTGGAAAAAAGTTTTTTTGTCGGTAGAACCTCCCAGGGAAGAACAAAACGTATCTAACGTGTTACTAAACCCCCCAACAGTACAATCAGTCTGTAGATGCAGTAAAGCATGCTGGTTATACTCACTGTGGAACCTAAGGGGTTAATCCTCCGCATTGTGTAAAAAGGCTGTTTGATCCTGTCTTCTCTGATCCTCTCCTTCTTCCAGTGTCACCCCCTCTTATCTCCTGATAAGACATATCATGTGGAGTCACTCTGCACATGCTCAGTTTGGGGTGTATTGCTAGAGAAGCATTTGCGTTTTTTTGTCTTGGGATAGTGCATGTGATCAGCACAGGGCCAATCCGCACTGTCCAGACAGAAGTCAAGGGTCCTGTATCCTCCTAGAGCAGAATGAAAACTCCTCTTATGAGCTTTAATCAGCACTCTGCTGGACACTGATAGGAGTCACAAGATTGTTATTTACTGCTGATGAGGAAAGCTATTTAGCAGTTTATATTTACTAAAATAATTAAATTTCCATGTTGTGTGTCCTGTGGGAGAGCGGATGTAGTGAATGCGGGGTCCGGGGAGAGCGGATATAGTGAATGCGGGGTCCGGGGAGAGCGGATATAGTGAATGCGGGGTCCGGGGAGAGCGGATATAGTGAATGCGGGGTCCGGGGAGAGCGGATATAGTGAATGTGGGGTCCGGGGAGAGCGGATATAGTGAATGCGGGGTCCGGGGAGAGCGGATATAGTGAATGCGGGCTCCGGGGAGAGCGGATATAGTGAATGAGGGGTCCGGGGAGAGCAGATATAGTGAATGCAGGGTCCGGGAGAGTGGATATAGTGAATGCGGGGTCCGGGGAGACTAAATATAGTGAATGCGGGGTCCGGGGAGAGCGGATATAGTGAATGCGGGGTCCGGGGAGAGCGGATATGGTGAACGCGGGGTCCGGGGAGAGCGGATACGGTGAACGCGGGGTCCGGGGAGAGCGGATACGGTGAACGCGGGGTCCGGGGAGAGCGGATACGGTGAACGCGGGGTCCGGGAGAGCGGGATACGGTGAACGCGGGGTCCGGGGAGAGCGGATACGGTGAACGCGGGGTCCGGGGAGAGCGGATACGGTGAACGCGGGGTCCGGGGAGAGCGGATACGGTGAACGCGGGGTCCGGGGAGAGCGGATACGGTGAACGCGGGGTCCGGGAGAGAGCGGATACGGTGAACGCGGGGTCCGGGGAGAGCGGATACGGTGAACGCGGGGTCCGGGGAGAGCGGATACGGTGAACGCGGGGTCCGGGGAGAGCGGATACGGTGAACGCGGGGTCCGGGGAGAGCGGATACGGTGAACGCGGGGTCCGGGGAGAGCGGATACGGTGAACGCGGGGTCCGGGGAGAGCGGATACGGTGAACGCGGGGTCCGGGGAGAGCGGATACGGTGAACGCGGGGTCCGGGGAGAGCGGATACGGTGAACGCGGGGTCCGGGGAGAGCGGATACGGTGAACGCGGGGTCCGGGGAACGCGGGGTCCGGGGAGAGCGGATATGGGGAACGCGGGGTCCGGGGAGAGCGGATATGGGGAACGCGGGGTCCGGGGAGAGCGGATATGGGGAGAGCGGATATGGGGAACGCGGGGTCCGGGTGGAGCGGATATGGGGAACGCGGGGTCCGGGTGGAGCGGATATGGGGAACGCGGGGTCCGGGGGGAGGGGATATGGGGAACGCGGGGTCCGGGGAGAGGGGATATGGGGAACGCGGGGTCCGGGGAGAGGGGATATGGGGAACGCGGGGTCCGGGGAGAGGGGATATGGGGAACGCGGGGTCCGGGGAGAGGGATATGGGGAACGCGGGGTCCGGGGAGAGGGGATATGGGGAACGCGGGGTCCGGGGAGAGGGGATATGGGGAACGCGGGGTCCGGGGAGAGGGGATATGGCGAAGGCCGGGTCCGGGGAGAGCGGATATGGTGAATGCGGGTGTCCGTAGGACACAGCGATCGTGGAGATTGCCGGGGGTTCACCCCCGGGGGCGCGCGCAGGAGAGTGCGCTCTGGGAGGACGTTTGTTTTTTTATTTTTTAAATTTATATAATAAGAACCCCCCCCCCCCCGTGGTGATCATATGCCACCAAAAGAAAGCTCTATTTGTGTGAAAATGATGTACATTTCAGTGGGGTACAGCATTGCATGACCGCGCAATTTCCAAAGTAGCGTAGTGCCGAATAGCAAAAGATCCCCTGGTCATGAAGAACACCTTCCGGAGGTCAAGTGATGAAATTAGGAGCTGCAGTCATTTCGGATTGCTGCGATGGTCAAGCTGGAGGTCTTGGTTGGTCAGGGAGCCCAGGAGTGGCTTCTTATGCAGGCCATAGACTGTTTGTTTATCGGCCGAAAAAACAAAACATCGGTCGTTTTTTTGTGCCACCAAGGATTGCAAAAATCTGCCTTTTTTTTTGCAAATTTTCCAGCATGACCGATAAAAGAAATGAGGAGGAACCGTGAAAATCGTCCGATGACATTGCCCCACTAACGGTCCGATTTATTCTTTCGGACGAAAAATCGGCTGATAAACGAACCGTCTATGTCCTGCATTACCCTTCTTTCCATCCTCCAGCTCTGTGTCCTTTCAAAACACATGGCTGTGTGACCTCACTTCCTGCCTCACTCCATTTCCTACCAAAATCACTTCCCGTTTTTAACCAATCGTTTAGAACCAACTAGGCAAGTTCATTAGGTTTACAACTAGTAAATTGTACCGGTAATGAATAGCGTGGTCTGGATGGATTACGGTCATTCCAAAATGGTGCTAATGGCGTATTTGTTGCCTGAACTTCTCCTGATAATATCTGGATTTGGTAAATGTTTGACCTTTTGAGTTCTCCATGTTGCAGATCCAAGATCTCCAGAGCGGCAGCGTGATTAGATTGTTGAAGAGCTTGTATGGACTCGGATTGGACAGAAATGACGATTGCTTCCAGTCAGCGATGGTTGAAGCGCAATGGCGTCTCCATTTATTTAGTATTGGAGGTCTGGCCCAGCTGTCGAGCTACATTCCGCACTCTGATCGGACCAAGGAAGAAAACAGACTGCTCGATGAGCTGGTTAAACAAGTGGAGCTTCGATGGTCAGAGATAAAGGAACCGCGGACAGTGGTGACACTGATATCAAGCCTGGGCTCCGAGTCGAACTCCTTCAAGGAGAAACTGGAAGATAAGGTATCATAACAGATCGCCTGTGGACAAGCCTCATATCCACAGTTAAAATACACTGTATGTCCAAAGGTGGGCCTCCTCCAAATGATGAGTTCACAGAAATGGCTTCTTTTACCACTTCTTCATATAAATACATTTTAGGAATTTTGCACTTCAAACCTTGTGGTTAAAGTTTGGGAGAGACCAGTGTAGTGGCCATGGTTTTGGAATGGGGGGCAACTCCATATTATTGGCCATGTTCTTGGAATGGTTGACAACTCCATATTATTGGCCATGTTCTTGGAATGGTTGACAACTCCATATTATTGGCCATGGTCTTGGAATGGTTGACAACTCCATATTATTGGCCATGGTCTTGGAGTGGTTGACAACTCCATATTATTGGCCATGGTCTTGGAATGGTGGGTAAGTCCATAGTATTGACCATAGTTTCGTAATGGGGGGACAACTCCATATTATTGGCCATGGTCTTGGAGTGGTTGACATCTCCATAATATTGGCCATGGTCTTGGAGTGGTTGACAACTCCATATTATTGGCCATGGTCTTGGAATGGTTGACAACTCCATATTATTGGCCATGGTCTTGGAATGGTTGACAACTCCATATTATTGGCCATGGTCTTGGAGTGGTTGACAACTCCATAATATTGGCCATGGTCTTGGAGTGGTTGACAACTCCATATTATTGGCCATGGTCTTGGAATGGTTGACAACTCCATATTATTGGCCATGGTCTTGGAGTGGTTGACAACTCCATAATATTGGCCATGGTCTTGGAATGGTTGACAACTCCATATTATTGGCCATGGTCTTGGAGTGGTTGACATCTCCATAATATTGGCCATGGTCTTGGAGTGGTTGACAACTCCATATTATTGGCCATGGTCTTGGAGTGGTTGACAACTCCATATTATTGGCCATGGTCTTGGAGTGGTTGACAACTCCATATTATTGGCCATGGTCTTGGAATGGTTGACAACTCCATATTATTGGCCATGGTCTTGGAGTGGTTGACAACTCCATAATATTGGCCATGGTCTTGGAATGGTTGACAACTCCATATTATTGGCCATGGTCTTGGAGTGGTTGACAACTCCATATTATTGGCCATGGTCTTGGAGTGGTTGACAACTCCATATTATTGGCCATGGTCTTGGAATGGTTGACAACTCCATATTATTGGCCATGGTCTTGGAGTGGTTGACAACTCCATAATATTGGCCATGGTTTTGGAATGGTGGGTAAGTCCATGGTATTGACCATAGTTTCGTAATGGGGGGGGGGGGGGGGTAACGCCATATTATTGGCCATGATTTTGGTGGAATGGAGAGCAACTTCATCTTATTGGTCATGGTTTTGGAATGGTGGGTAAGTCCATAGTATTGACCATAGTTTCGTAATGGGGGGACAACTCCATATTATTGGCCATGATTTTGGTGGAATGGAGAGCAACTTCATCTTATTGGCCATGGTTTTGGAATGGGGGTCAACTCCATAGTATATTCCCTTGTTTTGGAATGGGGGGGGGGGGGGGGGTAGGTAACTCCATATTATTGGCTATGCATATTAATGGTCATGGTTTTGGAATGGGGGAGGGAAACGCCATATTAATAGCTATGGTTTTGGAATGGGGAGGGGGGGGGGCAGCTCCATATTAGCAATACTCTTGTAGTAGGGGGACAACTCCATAATTTTGGAATAGAAACTCTATATTCATTGCCATAGTCTTGAAGTAGGGGGGCAACTCAATATTATTGGCCATGGGTTTTGAATGGGGGGGGGGGGGGGGCAAATCTGTATTAATTGCCATGATCTTGAAGTACGGGGCAACTCCATATTATTAGCCATGCCTTTGGAGTAGAGGGACAACACCATATTAGTGACCCTGGTCTTGGAGTAAGGTGGCAACTCCATATTATTGGCTATAGTTTTGGAGTAGGGTGGCAACTCCATATTATTGGCTATAGTTTTGGAGTAGGGTGGCAACTCCATATTATTGGCTATAGTTTTGGAGTAGGGTGGCAACTCCATATTATTGGCTATAGTTTTGGAGTAGGGTGGCAACTCCATATTATTGGCTATAGTTTTGGAGTAGAGGGACAACACCATATTAGTGACCCTGGTCTTGGAGTAAGGTGGCAACTCCATATTATTGGCTATAGTTTTGGAGTAGAGAGGCAACTCCATATCAATGGTCATGGTTTTTGAATGGGGGGACAACGCCATATTAATGACCATGGTGGTGGACTAGGATGTCCAACAGCTCAACCTTGTGGTAACAATTTGGTGAAGACCCTTTTCTGTCCCACCATGACTGTCCCCTGTGTACAAAGCCAGCTCCTTAAAGACATAGTTTGACCAGTTTGGTGTGGAGGAACTAGAGTGTGCTGCCCTGAGCCATGACCTTAACCCTACTGAACACCTTTGGGATGAATTGGAACACCAATTGTGAGCCAGATGTTCTCATCCAACATCAGTACCCACGGATACCCTCCAAAATCTTGTAAAAGCTTTCCTAGAAGTTTGGAGCTTGTTACAGAGCCAAAGGTGGCAACCCCATAGTAATGGCCATGGGGGGGGGGAGAGAGAGGCAATTCCATATTAATGGCCATGGTTCTGAAATGGGATGTCCAACAAGCTCATATAGGTGTGGTGGTCAGGTGCCGCCATCTTTTGGCCATATAGTGTGTAGCATTTAAAGGGATTCTAATATCAGAAAATAAGATGGTGTACATATAAAATGATTTCCACCTTATGAAGGTCACATTACCATACCTAAGTGTTTTTTTTTTCCCCTCCCCTTGTTTTAGGTCCTAGAACTTGCTGCAGGTTTGACACCTGAGCAGTCTCGGAAAGTCATCACTGCCTTGGCAGCTTGGAATCGGCGAACTTTACCTGTCCTGTGGGCGCTGTCCTTCCACCTCACACAGTACAGCGGTGAACTCTCCCCACCGGTCATATTAGATTTGGCATTTGCTTTCGGTAAGACAGACCTTTGGGGATGATGCGCTGCACTCTTCGCGGCTTTCTAACATCTTTCAAACCGTAATTTAGAATAACTTTTAGGATTGGTTAGGTGTATCCCAGAGTTGCACTTTAATTCCAGGCGTCTTCCATGCGGGCAAGTGACCAGCGCTTGTCCCTCTTTCTCTTCTCCAGTGGATGATCCTCAGTGCTGCAAAGAACGATGCTGACATTTGTGTGCAGCACTCTGTTGTAAGCCCAGGCAATGTGATTATGTGCCTATGGGGGGGGGGGGGGGGGAGGAGTGGGTCCACAGCAGCGCAGGATCAGAGCAGGTGGTTGAATGGCGGGGGGCATCATTCATCCTGGAAGTGGGGGCAACGACCAGGATCAGGAAAGGCTGTGTAGAGTGCCTCTGGAAAAGAATAGATTTTTTTTTTTTGTGATGGGGAGGGAGTGGGGGGAATTAAAAAAAAAAACCCCAAAAAACAAAACAAAAAAAAACAAAAAAACGTAAATGTGAGTCTTACAACCCTCATACACAGATAACAGCAACATTACAAAATGCATCATGATGCCTTCAGTTTTCAGTTTCAGTCTTGTAACCTAGATTTTCTTCTTTCATAGAAGCTTGGGAAATGGGGCAAAGACCCGTAGGTGGGGGGGCAGAGATCCAAATGGAGACCCAAAGGGGGGTGGGGGGGTGGGCAGAGACCCAAGGGAGGGACAGAGACCTAAATGAAGACCCGAACAGGGGCAGAGACCCAAACGCGGACCCGAGATCCAACGGGGATCCAAACGAGGGGAGAGACTGAAGTGCAGGCCCAAACGGGGGGGGTTGAGACTGAAATGGAGGCTGAGATGAGGGCAGGGAGACCCAGTCGGAGGGGCGGGTACCTCCAAAGGGAGACCCAGTCGGAGGGGCAGATACCTCCAAAGGGAGACCCAGTCGGAGGGGCAGGTACCTCCAAAGGGAGACCCAGTCGGAGGGGCAGGTACCTCCAAAGGGAGACCCAGTCGGAGGGGCAGGTACCTCCAAAGGGAGACCCAGTCGGAGGGGCAGGTACCTCCAAAGGGAGACCCATTCGGAGGGGCAGGTACCTCCAAAGGGAGACCCAGTCGGAGGGGCAGGTACCTCCAAAGGGAAACCCAGTCGGAGGGGCAGAGAACACTTCACTCCTTGGGATCCCTGGAAGCACTGTAGTTCTGTAGACAGACCTATAGGGGTGACTAACACCCCTAGATACCCCCTTCTTAGCGTGTTCTGAATCTCTGGAGGGGGGGGCCGTGTATGGTGTCTGCCTGCTATCACTGTAGCCCATACAATCAGCGCAGCAAGGCCGGGCGGTGGGGCGTAGCTGCTAAAATGACAAGACTACAGGAGAGCGCAATGATCTGCACACCGACCACGCCAGCATGCCTCTGCCTCTACTCTTGGCGTAGTTCACTTGCTACAGGAATGAAGGGGGACTGGCAAGGCGGATATTACATTTTGGGGGTACCCATGCCTTCCTGGGGTAGCCGTGGTCCCTCTGTTGCTGGGGTGCTGATATGTCGGTGGATCTGATGCTCACACCATCGTGTTACCATTTCTCCTGCAAAGGATACAGATTCACATCAATACATCTTTGTTTCTTGTTGTCTGTAGGTCAGTCTTCAGTTTTTCTGTCCGTCTTCATCCTCGTTCTTTGTGTGTCTTCCAGCCAAGCTGAATTACTTCCACATGGAAGTCTTACAGAAGATGGCCACCGACCTCATGCCCAGATTGACAACAATGAAGCAGTCGAATATCGCCCTAATGATGCGCTCCTTTACCCACCTCAGATATTCCAACCAGCCTTTCTGTGAAGCCGTTGCTCAGGTAACTTCAGACTGTTCATGGGTCACGCCTCCTGCTGGTTGGAGGACTCTTGGTCTCTGTATAGAAGCAGCGGTCTCTCTGCAGAGATTCCAAATGCCCCTGCTGAGCTACAGCCCTCCAAGTGAGCAGGGAACATGGGTGGGGGGGGCTCGGACCTCTGCAAAGAGACCATCCTTTCCACACAGAGCAAAGGTGTCGCAAACGTGCGCAACAGAGACTGACGCAGTCCGCCATTTTATTAAGAGTGTCCATTTTTCTCCCTCCCCCTCCCTGAGAGGAGACATTTGGCCAGCGTGTGTGTGTGTGTGCTGTTTGTGGGTCACTGGCAGGCCAAGGCATCTCTGAGCTAGGTGCCTAGCTGTCTGGGCAAGCTTTCTCCAGAGTTGAGAGAGATTCCAACCTAATAAAACCTAACTCAGCGTAGGTGACAGAATCAGATGACCTTTGTTAAAACCATTTTTTCCCCTATGTCTCATATCTTGGAATATGAGAGACTTACATAACAACCGATCATATCGCCAGATGGGCTAAGAGGAGCCGAACATTTTGGTGGGTCACGTGTTTCGGACACACAGAAAGCAGAAAAATAGATCTCGCGAACCGTTCAGTGTACACTTTCATAATTCATATCTAATCAATCCTCAGACTTGTCTGCATAACAATCTACCCGCGGGTGCAGTGTCACTTGTGCAGATGAAAAGTTATAGGCCAAATATGAGTTATGGGAGATTTTTGCTTTAGTTGAGGCATCCACCCATGTCTCCACGCCCTAAGCGGAGATTGGTCCTTGACTGCAGAGCCACCCCCTGCTGGGGACTACAAAACAGTCTGTCAGGCCTAAGAGTAGGAAGTTGAAGAATTCTCCCATGACCATTGTAACATAGGGAGATCAAAGCACTCTTCTGCTCTGAAACTTGGATCTGCTGACCCAGGACTGTGGCAAGTACTTTAACCTTTTCACCTCTCTCTGATATCTCTGCTGTGCTGTGGTCCTTTGTATATGTGTGTGTGTGTATATATATATATATATGTGTGTGTGTGTGTGTATATATATATATATATATATATATATATATATATATATCTTAGGTACATTTTTTTTTCTGCAAATATTTTTATTGCACCCGTTTGACCTTTTAGTAATAAATCTTTCTTCCTGAAAGTGTTGAATTGTTTCTATAGCTCTGTATTGCAATTCACGAATTCCTGCCTCTAAAGAGAACGCTACAGTTTGTTTAACCCTTTGTATAACCGGCCTGCGGACCGTTTTATACAGACGATTATCTCAATCATTATAGTGTTATAGCTGATAACACTGAGTTTCCTCTTTCTCTGTACAAAAAGGAGGTGGTGGCAGTATGAAGGGTTAATTGCGTAATTAACCTGACCCAGTAACAATCGCCCAGGCTGCCGGTACATCGATCTGTGGTCCATTAGCTGGAAAATCGTTGTGCAGGGTGCAGCTGGGTGTGGCATTGTTACGCACGTGACATCGCGGTTTTAGATCGGCTAGTCCTTCGGTCACGAGTTTGGGTGAGAAGATCTGGGGTTTGACATCGTGATCGTGACTAGTGAGCAGGGAACATGGGTGGGTGGGGCTCGGACCTCTGTAAAGAGACCATCGTTTCCACACAGAGCAAAGGGTCTGCAGCTTGCTGGCTAGAGGGGGGGGGGGGGGGGGGCTTTTTTATTCTGTGGCTGCTTTCTGTAACAGATAAACTGTAAAACTTTCACACCTTTTTTGTTTTGAAGCACTGTTTTATTTAGCCAGTTAAAAAAAACAAAAGCAAAGTCTGACCGATGTAACCGCCCCTCATCCGTGTTGTGTCCCCACAGGTATGCCTGCAGCGCAGCGAGTTCTTCCACATCAACCAGCTCTTCTCTGTACTTCTGAGTTTTGCATTTCTCAACTTCCAGCCCCGTCAGAGCGAAGAGTTCTTCAATATGGTGAGTGTCCCGCTATTGTGTCCCCTGCCGGCTCCTTTACTCCCGACCTCTGATGCTATGTCTCTGGATTGTGTCCCCTGCCGGCTCCTGTATTCCCGACCCCTGATGCTATATCTCCGGATTGTGTCCCCTGCCGGCTCCTGTATTCCTGACCTCTGATGCTTTGTCTCTGGATTGTGTCCCCTGCCGGCTCCTGTATTCCCGACCTCTGAGGCTGTATCTCCGGATTGTGTCCCCTGCCGGCTCCTGTATTCCCGACCTCTGACGCTATGTCTCCGGATTGTGTCCCCTGCCGGGTCCTGTATTGCCGACCTCTGACGCTATGTCTCCGGATTGTGTCCCCTGCTGGCTCCTGTATTCCCGACTTCTGACGCTATGTCTCCGGATTGTGTCCCCTGCCGGGTCCTGTATTGCCCACCTCTGACGCTGTGTCTCCGGGTTGTGTCCCCTGCCGGCTCCTGTATTCCCGACCTCTGACGCTATATCTCCGGGTTGTGTCCCCTGCCGGCTCCTGTATTGCCCACCTCTGAGGCTGTATCCCTGGATTGTGTCCCCTGCCGGCTCCTGTATTCCTGACCTCTGACGCTATATCTCTGGATTGTGTCCCCTGCCGGCTCCTGTATTCCTGACCTCTGACGCTGTGTCTCCGGATTGTGTCCCCTGCCGGCTCCTGTATTCCTGACCTCTGACGCTATGTCTCCGGATTGTGTCCCCTGCCGGCTCCTGTATTCCTGACCTCTGACGCTATGTCTCCGGGTTTTGTCCCCTGCTGGCTCCTGTATTCCTGACCTCTGACGCTATGTCTCCGGATTGTGTCCCCTGCCGGCTCCTGTATTGCCCACCTCCGACGCTATATCTCCGGATTGTGTCCCCTGCCGGCTCCTGTATTCCTGACCTCTGACGCTATGTCTCCGGATTGTGTCCCCTGCCGGCTCCTGTATTCCCGACCTCTGACGCTATATCTCCGGATTGTGTCCCCTGCCGGCTCCTGTATTCCCGACCTCTGACGCTATGTCTCCGGATTGTGTCCCCTGCCGGCTCCTGTATTCCCGACCTCTGACGCTATGTCTCCGGATTGTGTCCCCTGCCGGCTCCCTGTATTCCCGACGTCTGACGCTATATCTCCGAGTTGTGTCCTCTGCGGTTTTTCTTCTTACATCTTCTACAGCAGTGGTGGTGAACCTATGGCACACGTCGCGGCGGGCATGCAGAGCCCTGTCTGTCGGCACGCTAGCCAAGTCACCCCGACGAGCAGCCGAGCATTGAATTACAGCGCACACAGGGGCCAATGCGCATGCTTGGAAAGGAGTAGTGGCTCCAGGCGATGTCGTTGTGAGCCGCAACACATTAGCTGCAACTCGTCTGAGCTTTCGCACGTCTGGTCGTATGAATGCTTGGACTGACTATGATTTTAGCAGAAGCCCCCACAACGTAGGAAATGCACTCGAATGCCTTTTTCAGAGCAGACCTAAAGCTGGTGGTCAGTGAAACATTGCCCCCTTGCGCTGGTGATCGGCGGCTCTGTGCCCCCTTGCGCTGGTGATCGGCAGCGCTGTGCCCCCTTGCGCCGGTGGTGGGCGGCGCTGTGCCCCCTTGCGCTGGTGATCGGCGGCGCTGTGCCCCCTTGCGCTGGTGATCGGCAGCGCTGTGCCCCCTTGCGCTGGTGGTCGGGGGAGCTTTGCCCCCTTGCGCTGGTGGTCGGGAGATCTTTGCCCCCTTGCGCTGGCGGCCGGCGGCGCTTTGCCCCCTTACGCTGGCGGCCGGCGGCGCTTTGCCCCCTTGCGCTGGCGGCGCCTTGCCCCCTTGCGCTGGCGGCCGGCGGCGCCTTGCCCCCTTGCGCTGGCGGCCGGCGGCGCCTTGCCCCCTTGCGCTGGCGGCCGGCGGCGCTTTGCCCCCTTGCGCTGGCGGCCGGTGATAAAGAAGGTTTGCCATCACTGTTCTACAGCACCCTTTTTCAGCCAGGGGAGTGCCTTCAGGTTTCTTCAGGGGTGCCTTCAGGTTTCTTCAGGGGTGCCTTCAGGTTTCTTCAGGGGTGCCTTCAGGTTTCTTCAGGGGTGCCTTCAGGTTTCTTCAGGGGTGCCTTCAGGTTTCTTCAGGGGTGCCTTGGCAAAATGCCATCAAATCTGTATACAAGCCAGCGGGGTGGAAAATGCTCCCGATACCTGAAGCCGATACTTTGCGACGCGACTTGCGCCCATACAAATGTTTGGATGCAAATTGTACTGCAAAGAATAGCATGCAATTTGAACAGGAATTTGAAGAATCAGTTTGGGGTGAGGGGACACCGCTGGATCCCCGGACAGGTAAGTCCCAAATATATTAAGAGGGGGAGGGGGAGCTACACTCCTCTTTAATTGGTTGGCTGTTCCATGCGAGTCTCAGGCTGGGATATGGCGAGCATGATGCTTGGTAATATAGCAGTATGGATGAGCGTGGTCATGTGACCGCAATGTTCGCCCTTCAACCAGCGTCAGGGCGTTCAGCCACCAACATGCATTGTTTCATGTAGCGCTGATGTGGGTGTGCCTGGAGCACGCATGCGCAGAGCTATCATTCGTGGTCATGCTACCAGTGGCTGCAGGTTGGTTGGTCTGAGGTTGATTGAAGTTGGTCTCAGTTGCTCTAACTGCTGGAATTTTCCACGTGGAAATCCTTCAGATTTTGTCGATTTTTAAACACGAAGGGATACAGGAGGCGCGGTCTTGTCAAATTCTGCTCCGCCCACTCCCTGGTGGACGCTTCCCCTTCCCCCAATCAGCATAGTGAGGGCACACTGAATATACAGATGAAAATTAGATAACGCAATCTGATCCTGACCTCAGTGCAGTACAGCTTGTCGGTGGTCAGTGACCGCCCCGGTCTGTGATTGGACAGTGATGGAGTAGCAAACGAAGCCTGATTGGCCTTCAGAACCCCCCAATCAGAATCCTCGTACTGCAGCCAAGCTGCCTTCCTCTTCTCTAATGTAAGAATTATTTCCTGTAAGAACAATCCGATCTTCTCGTTATTTCTTTAGATTCACCAACGTTTCGGCTCCGAATTCGACTCGCTGAGCTGGAAGGTGCAGTTGGACACGGTGTGGTCGCTGTGTATGCTGGGTCATGTGACCACGACGTATTTCCAGAAGATTCTGAATCCTGAGTTCTACAGCCAAGTCCTGGGTATGAGTACGATGGATGTCGTCACAAATGATGCGCTAGGCCCGGGTTTCTCATCCGGTTTTGGGTTTTGTTTGTTTTTTTTAACCATGGCATGCTTTAACCACCCCCCTGCAGAGGATTTACCGCCCCCCCCCCCCCCCCTTCCTGACCAGACCATTTTCAGCTGTTCAGCACTGCGCTATTTCAACTGGTAATTGCATCAGATCCTAACACACCAGAGCTCCCACGCACATTGGTGGTCCCGTCACATCAGAGGTCCCCCTATTGCATTAGAGGTCCTACTGCACATCAGAGGTCCCCCCTTCACATCATGGATCCCCGTCACATCAGAGGTCCCCCCCATCATAATGGTGCCCCCCCATCACATCAGAGGTCCTCTCCATCATATTGGTGCCCCCCTATCACATCAGAGGTCCTCTCCATCATATTGGTGCCCCCCATCACATCAGAGGTCCCCCCCCCATCATATTGGTGCCCCCCCATCACATCAGAGGTCCTCTCCATCATATTGGTGCCCCCCATATCAGAGGTCCCCCCCATCATATTGGAGCCCCCCCATCATATCAGAGGTCCCCCCAAACATATTGGTGCCCCCCTATAATATCAGAGGTCCTCTCCATCATATTGGTGCCCCCCATATCAGAGGTACCCCCATCATATTGGTGCCCCCCTATAACATCAGAGGTTCCCCCCTTCACATCATGGGTCCCCCCCCATCATATCAGAGGCCCTCTCCATCATATTGGTGCCCCCCATCACATCAGAGGTCCTCCCCGTCATATTGGTGCCCCCCATCATATTGGTGCCCTCCCATCACATCAGAGGTCCCCTTCCCCCCCATCATATTGGTGCCCACGCCATCACATCAGAGGTCCTCTCCATCATATTGGTGCCCCCCATATCATCAGAGGTCCCCCCCCATCATATTGGTGCCCCCCCCATCACATCAGAGGTCCCCCCCATCATATTGGTGTCCCCCTATAACAAGTCCCCCCATCATATTGGTGCCCCCCATCACATCAGAGTTCCTCTCCATCATATTGGAGCCCCCCTATAACATCAGAGGTCCCCCCATCACATCATGGATCCCCATCACATCAGAGGTGCCCCCCCATCATATTGGTGCCCCCCATCACATCAGAGGTCCTCTCCATCATATTGGTGCCCCCCCCCATCACATCAGAGGTGCCCCCCCATCATATTGGTGTCCCCCCATCATATCAGAGGTCCCCCCATCATATTGGAGCCCCCCCATCACATCAGAGGTGCCCCCCCATCATATTGGTGTCCCCCCCATCACATCAGAGGTGCCCCCCCATCATATTGGTGTCCCCCCATCACATCAGAGTTCCTCTCCATCATATTGGAGCCCCCCTATAACAACAGAAGCCCCCCTATCACAGCATGAGGCAGCCGTTTAGCGTGGTTGGCCTGCTGTCTGGCAGGATCTTCATTGCAGAAATAGATTCAAGGAAAGAGCTTGCAGTGTCTGCAGGGAGACGTGACGCCAGACATGCTGAATGATGAGACTCTGTCTATATACACGTTGCTGCGCCCATCACAAAGCCAAAGTTTTAAAGGAAAACCTCTACGCTTTGCAGCCTCGTCAAATTCAGCACCGCCCATTTCCTGGCGGCCGCTGGCCAATGGGCTGCGAGAGAATTTTTGTAGCTCATGGGCCCCGTTTCCTCTGCGGTAGGATTTGGGGATAAAATTGTGCTACGGACACTATAGAAAAAAATGTTTTATGTAGTTTATTTGGAGGGGGGAGGAAGGTGGGGGGGGGGGGGGGGGGGGGGGGGGGGGGGGGGGGGGGGGGGGGGGGGGGGGGGGGGGGGGGGGGGGGGGGGGGGGGGGGGGGGGGGGGGGGGGGGGGGGGGGGGGGGGGGGGGGGGGGGGGGGGGGGGGGGGGGGGGGGGGGGGGGGGGGGGGGGGGGGGGGGGGGGGGGGGGGGGGGGGGGGGGGGGGGGGGGGGGGGGGGGGGGGGGGGGGGGGGGGGGGGGGGGGGGGGGGGGGGGGGGGGGGGGGGGGGGGGGGGGGGGGGGGGGGGGGGGGGGGGGGGGGGGGGGGGGGGGGGGGGGGGGGGGGGGGGGGGGGGGGGGGGGGGGGGGGGGGGGGGGGGGGGGGGGGGGGGGGGGGGGGGGGGGGGGGGGGGGGGGGGGGGGGGGGGGGGGGGGGGGGGGGGGGGGGGGGGGGGGGGGGGGGGGGGGGGGGGGGGGGGGGGGGGGGGGGGGGGGGGGGGGGGGGGGGGGGGGGGGGGGGGGGGGGGGGGGGGGGGGGGGGGGGGGGGGGGGGGGGGGGGGGGGGGGGGGGGGGGGGGGGGGGGGGGGGGGGGGGGGGGGGGGGGGGGGGGGGGGGGGGGGGGGGGGGGGGGGGGGGGGGGGGGGGGGGGGGGGGGGGGGGGGGGGGGGGGGGGGGGGGGGGGGGGGGGGGGGGGGGGGGGGGGGGGGGGGGGGGGGGGGGGGGGGGGGGGGGGGGGGGGGGGGGGGGGGGGGGGGGGGGGGGGGGGGGGGGGGGGGGGGGGGGGGGGGGGGGGGTGGGGGGGGGGGGGGGGGGGGGGGGGGGGGGGGGGGGGGGGGGGGGGGGGGGGGGGGGGGGGGGGGGGGGGGGGGGGGGGGGGGGGGGGGGGGGGGGGGGGGGGGGGGGGGGGGGGGGGGGGGGGGGGGGGGGGGGGGGGGGGGGGGGGGGGGGGGGGGGGGGGGGGGGGGGGGGGGGGGGGGGGGGGGGGGGGGGGGGGGGGGGGGGGGGGGGGGGGGGGGGGGGGGGGGGGGGGGGGGGGGGGGGGGGGGGGGGGGGGGGGGGGGGGGGGGGGGGGGGGGGGGGGGGGGGGGGGGGGGGGGGGGGGGGGGGGGGGGGGGGGGGGGGGGCCTTGCAGGGGACTCGCTCTGCCCTCAGGGCTTAAGTCGTAGAGGACCTCCATGACTAAGCCCCGGTGGTGGTGGGAAATCCATCAGTGGGCGTGGCCTGGGAGGAGCCTGGGTGGCCTAGTCGGTGTGCTGCCCCTCCACGTTCTTCTGGATGAATTCCAGACGTCGGAGTCACCGGATCAGGGATCTCACCGCGCAGAGCGGCGCTCCAAGCTGTCCAGTGCGGGTCGCACACGCGCTCATCATCTCATTCTTTTATGTCTGCAGGGGAACAGTCAGAGAAATCCGTCAGCCGTTGCCGAAAGTTACTGCAGATAAATGCCTCAGCGCAGCTGGAGAGCCCCGATTATCCGGGGCCCCTGCTTCCCATTGATGTACTGCAAACCCTACAGAGCCGGGTGGATGTCAAGACAGGCAGCACCCTGCAGTGCGCAGTCAGCAATGCGCTGAAAAAAGTCTTCCCCGACCCCGGGACCTGCAACTTCAACGTACGCACCATCTATGGCTGGAATTTAGGTGAGAGGGATGGCGGTTGTTCACACACAAATTATATGCCATTATGGGGCAATAATCAAAATATTCATTAATTATTTAAATATTCAATGAGCCCTGTTAGGAAGCGCTACAGCCGTGCAGCCTCGTCAAATTCAGCCCCGCCCACTCCTGGCGGCCGCTGGCCAATGGGCTGCTACAGAGTCCAGTAGCTCATGAGCCTCATTTTCTCTCCTGTAGAATGAGGATAAAATGTGCTACAAACATGCAATAAATATAAATATCAATGTTCTTTCTGATGGCTTTTTTCACACGGGTGTACTAGAGCGGGGGGGGGGGGGGGGGCAACTGTGGCCCTCCAGCTGTTGTAGAACTACAAGTCCCATGAGGCATTGCAAAAACTGACCCTTACAAGCATGACTCCCAAAGGCAGAAGCATGATGGGACTTGTAGTTCACCAACAGCTGGAGGGCCACAGTTGCCCACCCCTGTACTAGAGCATTCACACACGGGAGGGTCATGTATGTCCTGCACAGCGACGCACAGGGGGATCCGTGCATTTTGCATGTAAGAAGGTCAATTTATATCAGTGGGGACACAGACACTGCGTGGACACAGCCGCTGCTCCCAACCTGAGCCCTTGTTCACACATATGCGATTCTGAATGCGTTTTCAAACGCACAGTCGAGGGGAGGCGTTTTTGCGTTGAAGCCAACAGGGGGCGACTTTTGCGTTCAAGCCAACAGGGGGCGACTTTTGTGTTCAAGCCAACAGGGGGCGACTTTTGTGTTCAAGCCAACAGGGGCGTTCAAGCCAACAGGGGGCGACTTTTGCGTTCAAGCCAACAGGGGGCGACTTTTGCTTTCAAGCCAACGGGGGGGCGACTTTTGCGTTCAAGCCAACAGGGGGCGACTTTTGCATTCAAGCCAACGGGGGGCGACTTTTGCTTTCAAGCCAACGGGGGGCGACTTTTGCGTTCAAGCCAACAGGGGGCGACTTTTGCGTTCAAGCCAACAGGGGCGTTCAAGCCAACAGGGGGCGACTTTTGCGTTCAAGCCAACGGGGGGCGACTTTTGCGTTCAAGCCAACGGGGGGCGACTTTTGCGTTCAAGCCAACAGGGGGCGACTTTTGCGTTCAAGCCAACGGGGGGCGACTTTTGCGTTCAAGCCAACGGGGGGCGACTTTTGCGTTCAAGCCAACGGGGGGCGACTTTTGCGTTCAAGCCGACGGGGGGCGACTTTTGCATTGAAGCCGACGGGGGGGACACTTTTGCATTGAAGCCGACGGGGGGGGACACTTTTGCATTGAAGCCGACGGGGGGAGACTTTTGCGTTGAAGCCGACGGGGGGCGACTTTTGCGTTGAAGCCGACGGGGGGGACACTTTTGCGTTTGAGCCGAAGGGGGGGGGGAGACTTTGCATTTGAGCCGACAGGGGGGGGCCTTTGCGTTTGAGCCGAGAAGGGGGGACCTTTGCGTTTGAGCCGATGGGGGGGGGACTTTTTTTGCGTTTGAGCCGACGGGGGGGGGGGCGACTTTTGCACTGGAGCCTGCAGGGGGATGCACGGAAGCCCCGTGTGGCAAACATGGCCCGCACTGCAGTACACCCGTGTGAATGAGGCCTATAGGAGGTCAGCCGTGTGCACAGGAGTCTCCTTTGCACCCCAAATTCCCATCATCCTTCAGTTGTCAAGGTTCTGAACCATGTTTGATATCTGTGTTGGGTTTCCCTGTATGAACAATAATCTGTTTTCTCCTCTTTGTGTAGATGGCGAAGTTGTCCTAGATTCTGATCTTGAAGCTCTAGCCCTGCAGGATTTCGAGGCCCCCCACAATCCGCAGTCTGGGGGGACCCAACCGCTGCCTGAGGGGGCGAGGAGGTGAGGAAACCCCAGGAACAAACCGGCATTGATGAGCCGTAATTGGTTCAACCGCGAAAGGGAATGAAAAATCTGAGGGAACCGGCCAGCCTAAAAATCATGCTTGTGGCTTGCGTTCACACAGGCAGACGGGGGCGGCCGGCGGTAATCAGGAGATTCCTGATGGCGGTTCTAAATAAAACCTGCACACACTGGGGGTGGGGGGTAGGGGGGGGGGGGGTGGGAAAGGACTTTATGAAGCTTAATCAAAAGTGAGCTTTCAGAAAATGGGGAAAACAGGTAGCGGAGTTCTGAAATTACATACTGCAGGGCTCAGTGAGGGGAGTTCTGACAGCTGATTGGAGGAAAGAGACACACCTCCCTCTACACAGCTCACGGGAACAGAACTGAGGCTGTCAATTACAGGCCGTGCCCTCCCCTGTCACCTTCTTTCTCTTGGGTGTCAGGAAAAATCATCAGAGGTGACTCATGCAAAGGTAGCAGAAGAATGAGCCAGCAGACAGAAATGACACTCAGTGCTTTGGATTGAGACAAGTACACACTGTAGAGGGATCTGCTTTGTCCACATTTCATATCTGAGGTTTACAACCACTTTAAGAACTATCCGCACCTATTTCAAGCATCAAGATTTGCTATCTGTGTGGAGAGGAGGAGCTCTGCTGCCTTTGCCTTGGTGTGCAGGGATGGGGAGGGCTATGCTCTCCTAAGTGCCCTGCCAACAGTGACCCCTATCCTGCCCAGTGACCCCTGTCCTCTACCCTGCCAGCAGTGACCCCTGTCCTCTACTCTGCCCTGCCAGCAGTGACCCCTGTCCTCTGCCCTGCCAGCAGTGACCCTGTCCTCTGCCCTGCCAGCAGCGATCCCTGTCCTCTGCCCTGCCAGCAGTGATCCCTGTCCTCTGCCCTGCCAGCAGTGACCCCTGTCCTCTGCCCTGCCAGCAGCGACCCCTGTCCTCTGCCCTGCTGCCCATGCAGTGTACCCTGCCCTGAGCCCCGTACACTCCCCTGCTGTCCCCGTGCCCTGCCCTGCTGAGTGACCTCCCCCTGCTGAGTGACCCCGCCACTCCCCTGCAGTGACCCCTGCCACCCCCTGCAGTGACCCCGTCACTCTGCCCTGCTGCAGTGACCCCTGTATCACTCTGCCCTGCTGAGTGACCCCTACCTCTGCCCTGCTGGCCCTGTGCACTCCCTGCTGATCTCCCATTCTCTACCCCCTAACATTTTTTATTGCGCTCTCAGGTCCGGCTAGATCCGGCCCCGTTGTGGGTAAACATTACTGATATGTGCCGCAAAATTCAAGTAGTTTTTACTACCGGCCCGTCTAAGAATCCTATTGCTGTAGCAAATTCTTAAAGGACAAGTCGGGTCAAAGCTTTCCTCCTGTGGGTGCACTTAGTTTTGCCCCCCTGCGACCCAGATTTAGTGAGTAAAATAGCAGTGTTTGATCCTGACCAACCAGCAGATTCTGGCTCCCACCAGACTTTGCAGGTGGTCCTGCAGATTAATATTGTCCATGTATCCTCCCCACAACTTGCCTGACCAAGGACACCTGTCCACAGCCCCTTGGCGGTTCCACCCCTGGGCAAGCCCAAAGAGCTGTCAAAGGATGTCAGGGACAGTGTGCCTGCAAAAGGGGAATGGGCTACAAGACCAAAGAGGTCAAGGACACTGCCAAGACTGTAGACCTGCACAAGGCTGGAATGGGCTACAAGACCAAGTTCCACCGTCGAGTGCGCACCACTGTAGACCTGCACAAGCCATGGAATGGGCTACAGAAGCAAATTGTCTGAAGGCCCACTGCAGGGCACTGTAGACTGCAGAAGGCTGGAGCGGGCCAAGACCAAAGAGCTCTCAAAGGACATCGGGACAAGCCCACCTCGTAGTACCTACACAAGGCCTTGGTCAATGGGCTACAAGATCATTGAGCTGTCAAAGGAGTCAGGGACAAGACTGTAGACCTGCACTGGGGAATGGGACAAGACGCAAAGAGTGGACACTCCGTCCCAGGGCAAGACACTGGTAGATTCTGCACAAGGCTGGAATGGGCACAAGATCAAAGAGCTTTCCGTGCGACACCAGGGACAGACTGTAGACCTGCACAAGGCTGGAATGGGCTACAACCAAAGAGCTGTCAAAGGACTGTCAGGGACAAGACTGTAGACCTGCACAAGGCTGGACCGGGCCGCTACAAGACCAAAGAGCTGTCTAAGGACGTCAGGGACAAGACTGTAGACCTGCACAACTGTTTATCTGGAATGGGAATAGACTCCACCGACCCTGGACTGTCCAAGCCACGTCAGGGACAAGACTGTAACCCAGAAAAATGGGCACACAATACCAAAGAGCTGTCCAAGGACGTCAGGGACAAGACTGTAGACCTGCACAAGTTTGGAACGTGAGTACAAGACCAAAGTGTCCAAGGACGTCAGGGACACCAGACCTGCAATGATTCTGGCTACCGACAAAGCTGGCTAAGGACGTCAGGGCACGCAGATGTAGACCTGTCCAAGGTAAGAAGGCGCTACAAGACCACAACTGTCCAAGGACGTATAAAGGACACCTGTAGACCACAAGGCTCTTGGGCACCACCATGAGCAAGACCAAAGAGCTGTCAAAGGACGTCAGGGAAACGATTGTAGACCTACACAAGGCTGGAATGGGCTACAAGACCACCAGCGAGAGCTTGTTGAGAGGAGACAACTGCTGGAGCGATTATTTACAAATGGAAGAAATTCAAAATAACAACGACCCTCGGTCTGGAGCTCCATGCAAGGTTTGCCTCATGGGGGGTAAGGATGATCGTGAGAAAATGGAGGGATCAGCCAAGAACTACACAGAAGGAGCTTGCGAATTACCTCAAGGCAGTTGGGACCACAGTCAGAACCATTGGTAGCACAATATGCCGACATGGACTGAAATCCTTCAGCTCCCGCAAGGTCCCCCCTCCTCAAGAAGACACATGTACAGGTTCATCTGAAGTTTGCCAATGAACATCTCAATGATTCAGAGAAGGATGGGAGACAAGTGCTGTGGTCAGATGGACCAAAATTGAGCTTTTTGTCACATTAACTCGACTCGCCGTGTTTGCAGGAAAGAAAAATGCTGACTATGACCCTAAGAACACCATCCCTACAGTCGAGCACAGAGGTGGAAACATTATGGTTTGGGGCTGTAAAGGTACAGGTTGAGGGGCCAATGGACTGGGCCATGTATTGTAAAATCTTGGATGAGAACCTTCTTCCCTCAGCCAGAACACTGAAAATGGGTGGTGGATGGGTGTTCCAGCATGACAACGACCCAAAACATACCACCAAGGCAACAAAGGAGCGGCTCAAGAAGAAGCACATTAAGGTCCTGGAGTGGCCTAGCCAGTCTCCAGACCTTCATCCTATAGAAAGGATGGAGCTGAAACTTCGAGTTGCCAAGCGACAGCCAAGAAACCTTAAAGCGGAGTTCCACTCATCAAAACATAAGTCAGCAGCTACAAAAACTGTAGCTGCTGACTTTTGAAAAACAGCCATTTACCTGTCGCTTGGTCTCGTGGGGTGTCCCCCCTGCAGCCCGTTTCACCGGCCAGCCTGTATTCCAGGAGGCCGGCATCTTCAGTGCGGGCACCTGGCTGTGATACCTTGAGGCTTCCCAAAGGTGCCAATCCTTAATGGGGAGCAGTCCTTAATGCGAAACTTCCGCTTTTGGGTGGAGCTCCACTTTAAGGATTTAGAGAAGATGTGTAAAGAAGAGTGGATCAAAATCCCTCCCTCCTGAGATGTTTGCAAACATTGAAACCAACTCCAGGACTAGTCCAGCTTTTTTAGATGTTTTTTGGCAAAGTCTAATCTGGCTTTTCTGTTCTTCAGGCTTATGAATGGTTTGCACCTCGTGGTGAATCCTCTGTATTTGCACCTCGTGGTGATCCCTCTGTATTTGCTCTCGTAAAGTCTTCTCTTGATTGTAGACTTTGACAATGATCCGCCCCCTCCTGGAGAGTGACCTTCACTTGTCTGGATGTTGTTAATGGGTTTACCATAGAGAGGATCCTGCAATCACCCACCACTGTTGTCTTTCGTGGACGTCCATGTCTTTTTATGTTGCTGAGGTCACCAGTGCGTTCTTCTTTCCTAAGAATGGACCAAACTGTTTATTTGGCCGCTCCTAATGTTGCTGCGATCTCTCTGATGGGATAGTTTTTTTTTAAGCCTTACAATGCCCGGTGTCACTTGCATGGACGGCTCCTTTAAACGCATGATGGAGGTTCACAGCAATAGATTCCAAATGCAAATCCCGCACTTAGAATCAACTCCAGACCTTTTTACCTGCTTAAAAACCACTTCCAGTCCGGACGCTTTCCCCCTCTTCCAGTCCGGACGCTTTCCCCCTCTTCCAGTCCGGACGCTTTCCCCCTCTTCCAGTCCGGGCGCTTTCCCCCTCTTCCAGTCCGGGCGCTTTCCCCCTCTTCCAGTCCGGGCGCTTTCCCCCTCTTCCAGTCCGGGCGCTTTCCCCCTCTTCCAGTCCGGGCGCTTTCCCCCTCTTCCAGTCCGGGCGCTTTCCCCCTCTTCCAGTCCGGGCGCTTTCCCCCTCTTCCAGTCCGGGCGCTTTCCCCCTCTTCCAGTCCGGGCGCTTTTCCCCCCCTTCCAGTCCGGGCGCTTTCCCCCCCTTCCAGTCCGGACGCTTTCCCCCCCTTCCAGTCCGGACGCTTTCCCCCCTTCCAGTCCGGACGCTTTCCCCCCCTTCCAGTCCGGACGCTTTCCCCCCCTTCCAGTCCGGACGCTTTCCCCCCCTTCCAGTCCGGACGCTTTCCCCCCCTTCCAGTCCGGACGCTTTCCCCCCCTTCCAGTCCGGACGCTTTCCCCCCCTTCCAGTCCGGACGCTTTCCCCCCCTTCCAGTCCGGACGCTTTCCCCCCCTTCCAGTCCGGACGCTTTCCCCCCTTTCCAGTCCGGACGCTTTCCCCCCCTTCCAGTCCGGACGCTTTCCCCCCCTTCCAGTCCGGACGCTTTCCCCCCCTTCCAGTCCGGACGCTTTCCCCCCCTTCCAGTCCGGACGCTTTCCCCCCCTTCCAGTCCGGACGCTTTCCCCCCCCTTCCAGTCCGGACGCTTTCCCCCCCCTTCCAGTCCGGACGCTTTCACCCCTTCCTGTCCGGACGCTTTCACCCCCTTCCTGTCCGGACGCTTTCACCCCCTTCCTGTCCGGACGCTTTCCCCCCCTTCCTGTCCGGACGCTTTCACCCCCTTCCTGTCCGGACGCTTTCCCCCTTCCTGCCCAGGCCAATTTTCAGCTTTCAGCGCTATCACATTTTGAATGACAATTGCGCGGTCATGCAACACTGTACCCATATGAAATTTTTAGCATTTTTTTGAGACAGATAAAGCTTTATTTTGGTGGTATTTATTCACCGCTGGGATTTTATATTTTTTTTTGCTATGTAAATGAAAAAGTCCAAAAAAATTTTTAAAGTGTTTTTCTTATAAAATTTTGCAAAAAAATAATATTTCATCATAAATCTTGGCCAAAATTTATTCAGTTGTCTTTTTAAAAAACAAAAAAAAACAACAAATTAGTTTGTAACCAAAAATTATAATTTTTAAACTTTTCTTTTTACATTTTTATTTATTTTTTTTACATACTGTCACCCTAGCAGTGTGGGGTCACCATGGTAACACTGTACTACTTGTGGGGGGTGATGAAAATTTTTTTTTTTTACACTGATTGCTTTTACACCCATAAAGGCTGTAAAAGCAATAATTTCTGCATTCCTGCAGCCATTGAGAAATACTGTGAGAGCTGTGATTGGTCACAGCTTATCACATGGTACAAGGCTGTTGTGCATAGCCCTGTACCATGTGATCTCTGTGATCAATCACAGATTTCACACGTAGTAAGCAATGATGTCAGAAGTGACATCTTGCTTACTACTCTGCATGTGATCACTGATTGGCCAATCAGTGATCACATGATTGGGACCTCACAGGGAGGTCCCATACGACGAACGGTGTTCCACTGTGTCCGGAGGACACAGCGGGCACCGGAGTGCAGTGCTGCGTGCTCCCAGGGAGGGCGCACAAGCAGGGGGCGGGGAGGCCGTTTATAAACAGCCACCCGCCCCTGCACTGCCACCGTCTGGCCGTTTATATACATGGGCAGGACAGGAGGTGGTTAATTGATGAAGAAATAAAGGAGTAGCCCACACCTGGCCATGAAACAGCTTTTGATTCAATTGTCCAATTACTTTTGGTCCCTTGAAAAAGGGGGGGGGGTGGCTACTCTTAAGAGCTGTAATTCCTAAACCCCTCCCCCAATGTGGATGTACATACCCTCCAATTACACCTGAGAGTGCGCACTGTCCGCCCAGATCCATTACAGAACTAGAGCTGGAATATGTTTTGGTAAATACCAATGGCTCCCGCTGCTATCAATCTGCCCAATGAGGAGAGAGCCCCTGCTGTTGTGCACGGCGCCGGATCGGATCAGGTAAAAATACGGAAGGGTGGGGGCTGGGTTTAAAAAAAAAAACAACCTGGAGTCTTCAGAACCACTTTCACTCCTAGTGTTCCCGCACTTTTATAAAGTGGCTGCATTTCTACTAATCGGCTTTAATTATATTTAAATTGTGTTCGCTTTTTTTTTAACCCTAGTGATTTCATCACTGGGTCTCTGTGCTTCTGTATGCAATGCAGGCAGATCATGGCTGGTGGGAGGGGCCCGGCAGGGTGCTTTACATACCTTCCTGAAAACATCACAACGCCCTGCCTCAGTACTCCTCTCCGGACCTCCTCAGTACTCCTCTCCTGACCCCCTCAGTACTCCTCCCTGGACCCCTTCAGTCCGTATACAAGCAGTGGAAATGCTTTGATGGGTGGGTGTCAGTCTGGAGGAGGGGGCGTTCCCAGGCAGGCTGTATTGCTTAGATAACGCCCACATGCAACGTAGAGCTTCCATGATTGAAAGAACTGAAAGCCAATGAATGAAAGGGGCGGGGCCGGGGGACTAGATTTCACTTTGTAACGCGGATTCTGCGTCTCTCCTCCAGGTTCGCCATTGTGGTTCAGGAATTCGCACACTTCGCGTTCCACGAAAAGGAAGTGCTGGGACGCGGCGTGATGACCCGGCGCCATCTGCGGGCAGCTGGATTCCTGGTGGTGGAGGTGAGCCTGGTGCTCGGCGTCTGCTGAAAACTATCTCACCAGTTGGGGGGGCGGGGGGGGGATTGATTGGGGGGTTATAACCCACCCTTTATCCAAAATGGGGAAAAAAAAAACTTTTGCCTTTTTAGTTCTACTTTAAGGGGATAGATGCAGATTTTAGTTGGGGGTTCCTTCAGATCTGAGGACTATGTAAGGGTTCCTCGGGGGCAGGAAGTGAAGGGAAATCTCTCCAATGGGGAAAAAAAAAATTGATTTGGGGGGGGGGGGGGGGGGTGATGATAACCCACCCTATATCCAAAATGGAAAAAACTTTTGCCTTTTTAGTTCTACTTTAAGGGGATAGATACAGATTTTAGTTGGGAGTTCCTTCAGATCCGAGGACTATGTAAGGATTCCTCGGGGGCGGTCTCTTACCATTTTGCTGTCCTGCCCTTCAGGTGCCTTATTACGACTGGAAGGGATTACGTTCGGAACAGGAGAAGGAAAGTTTCCTGAAGGATCGGATTAGGAATGTGATGGCGGAGGACATGGTGCAGTGAGGAGCCCGGCCAGACCGTGAAGAGGCGTGTGTATATGTATGTTCCCCCCTCGCCGCTGGGTGTCTGGTACCGAGAAGGAGGGGGAAGCACAAGGTTTGGGGCGGGATCTGCATTTTAAGATCATCTGTATTGTGTTGTGAAATGAATCCGATGGAAAAAAGACTGATAAAGATCGATGTAAAGATCGATGTTGTGTTTTGTTTTTTCAATAGCCAAATGTAGGTGTGATGAGTTTTATCCGTATTGGAAAGCCAGGGAGGGCCGAACCGTGTTCTGACCTTCCACCACAGAGGGCGCCAGAGAACTTCGCCTTTAAATCTGCTGTACTTCTGGGAGACCTGAGGATCAATTCAATGTCAGCTTTTCAGCATTAGCTCCTCCTCCTCCACCAGCCAGTAAGAATAGACTGCATTTTAAATCAGAGCCGGGCCAAGTAAATATAGTCTCAGCTCCTTCTTAAAGTGGATCATCAGCCTCAAAAACTTTACTGCCACCCCTCCTCCAGTCTTCTACACCAGTGGTCTCCCACCTGCTGCCTGTGGGATGGATGTGGCCCTTTGATTATCTTTATCCGGCCCTTGGGGCACTGTTCATCCACTGATATGAAGCACTGATACTTTCACCAACGATGGGGCACCAGTCCTCCCACTGACAAAAACTTAGGGGTACTATTCCTCCCACTGACACCAAGGATGGGGCACTATTCCCCCACTGACACCAATGATGGGGCACTATTCCTCCCACTGACACCAATGATGGGGCACTATTCCTCCCACTGATACCAATGATGGGGCACTATTCCTTCCACTGATACCAATGATGGGGCACTATTCCTCCCACTGACACCAATGATGGGGTACTATTCCTCCCACTGCCACCAATGATGGGGTACTATTCCTCCCACTGCCACCAATGATGGGGTACTATTCCTCCCACTGACACCAATGATGGGGTACTATTCCTCCCACTGCCACCAATGATGGGGTACTATTCCTCCCACTGACACCAATGATGGGGCACCAGTCCTCCCACTGATATCAACATTGGGGTATTATTCCTCCCACTGACACCAAGGATGGGGTATTATTCCTCCCACTGACACCAATGACGGGGCACTATTCCTCCCACTGATACCAATGACGGGGCACTATTCCTCCCACTGACACCAATGACGGGGCACTATTCCTCCCACTGACACCAATGACGGGGCTCTATTCCTCCCACTGACACCAATGACGGGGCTCTATTCCTCCCACTGACACCAATGACGGGGCTCTATTCCTCCCACTGACACCAATGACGGGGCTCTATTCCTCCCACTGACACCAATGACGGGGCTCTATTCCTCCCACTGACACCAATGACGGGGCACTATTCCTCCCACTGACACCAATGATGGGGCACTATTCCTCCCACTGACACCAATGATGGGGCTCTATTCCTCCCACTGACACCAATTATGGGGCTCTATTCCTCCCACTGACACCAATGACGGGGCACTATTCCTCCCACTGATACCAATGACGGGGCACTATTCCTCCCACTGACACCAATGACGGGGCACTATTCCTCCCACTGACACCAATGACGGGGCACTATTCCTCCCACTGACACCGATGACGGGACACTATTCCTCCCACTGACACCAATGACTTTGTAGCGAATTGAAGTGAGGGGTAAAGCCTCAGGAAAATGAGAAGTAGAGTGAATAAAGGGGGTGGTCCTAAAACCCCCCCAATCTTCTGGGAATGCTCCAATGACTAAAAAATACTTGCCCGTTCAAGAAAAAAGAAGCCCAGAGCCACAAATATCAGAGAATCAGCGTGAAAGAAGCACCAATCTAGGCGGAGGTCAAGCTAGATTGTCATTTGGGAATGTGGAAGAGAATCAAGAAAAAGAGTCCAGATATGGAAACTATAAAAGAACTAGAAGAGTAGAACTAGAAGGGTCTATAGATCATCCACTTTTAAAAAAAATGGAGACCGTTTTGAAAAGGGAGATCGGGAATCTTCGTAGTGATCTGGGTCATATATTAACTCGAATGGAAGAAATTGAGGGAAAAAACAGAGGAATATGCAAAACAAATGAAGAACTTAGAAGGACAAGTAGAGGAAAGGCGGATGGAACACAGAGAATTATTATATAAATTGGAGGAGGAACAGGAGAATCGTAATAGAAGGAATAACTAGGATTAGAGGCGTACCAGCAGGAAGAGGATTTATTGGGGAAAATGGAAAAAAATCTAACCCAGTAATGGGAAAGACCGGAGAAAGGATCAATTGAAGATGGACAGAGGATATAGGATTAGGCGGCCAAAAGGGTGTCCCAGCAGAAAGTCCCAGAGATGTGATCGTAAGGTTCCAGGACTTAGGAGACAGAGATCGGATCTGGAAAGGGTTACGAGATCTTACTGAAATAAAATCTGAAGAGACCGCCATAAAAAAATCTTTGCCGACATATCTCCAGAGACAGTAGCAAGGAGGAGAACCTTAAAACCACTTAATCCATGAGAGAGAGAAAAAAGTGCGATTATAATTGGGGTTTCCCAGCTTGCTTAATTGGGTGGAAAGAAGGAAGATCGGCAAGGCTGAGACCCCCGGAAGAATATATGACTTTTGTGATAATCTAGACTTACAGAGAGTTAATATTGTGGGATGGTCAGAAGGGGCTACGGAGAAGGAAGGACAGGGTCCAGGAGAGTGGCAACAGACACCTGGGAGGAAAAAATAGGAGGGCGTGGCGCTGGGGGGCCAAGAGAGAGAGTGGTGGGGGGTAGGTCCCCCAGGTTTTTTTTTTCTTTAACTTTTTTTGAGTCCCACGGAGCTACGTCCAGGTTCCCTTAATTGTCCTTACCCCCGAATTGGAAAGAGGTGAAAAGGGGGGGGGACATCAGGGAAAGAGCAAGTTGGCATCCTGGGAGGTATAGCGTTTGACTATCTGTAACCAGGAAAAGGAAGGGAGGTCATGTTTCGAGTTCATACGTTCAGGAAAAGGAGGGGAGGTCATGTTTCGAGTTCATACGTTCAGGAAAAGGAGGGGAGGTCATGTTTCGAGTTCATACGTTCAGGAAAAGGAGGGGAGGTCATGTTTCGAGTTCATACGTTCAGGAAAAGGAGGGGAGGTCACGTTTCGAGTTCATACGTTCAGGAAAAGGAGGGGAGGTCACGTTTCGAGTTCATACGTTCAGGAAAAGGAGGGGAGGTCATGTTTCGAGTTCATACGTTCAGGAAAAAAGTAAGGGAGGTCATGTTTCGAGTTCATACGTTCAGGAAAAGGAGGGGAGGTCATGTTTCGAGTTCATACGTTCAGGAAAAGGAGGGGAGGACATGTTTCGAGTTCATACGTTCAGGAAAAGGAGGGGAGGTCACGTTTCGAGTTCATACGTTCAGGAAAAGGAGGGGAGGTCACGTTTCGAGTTCATACATTCAGGAAAAGGACGGGAGATCACATTTCGAGTTCATACGTTCAGGAAAAGGAGGGGAGGTCACGTTTCGAGTTCATACGTTCAGGAAAAGGAGGGGAGGTCACGTTTCGAGTTCATACGTTCAGGAAAAGGAGGGGAGGTCATGTTTCGAGTTCATACGTTCAGGAAAAGTAAGGGAGGTCATGTTTCGAGTTCATACGTTCAGGAAAAGGAGGGGAGGTCATGTTTCGAGTTCATACGTTCAGGAAAAGGAGGGGAGGTCACGTTTCGAGTTCATACGTTCAGGAAAAGGAGGGGAGGTCACGTTTCGAGTTCATACGTTCAGGAAAAGGAGGGGAGGTCACGTTTCGAGTTCATACGTTCAGGAAAAGGACGGGAGATCACATTTCGAGTTCATACGTTCAGGAAAAGGAGGGGAGGTCACGTTTCGAGTTCATACGTTCAGGAAAAGGAGGGGAGGTCACGTTTCGAGTTCATACGTTCAGGAAAAGGAGGGGAGGTCATGTTTCGAGTTCATACGTTCAGGAAAAGTAAGGGAGGTCATGTTTCGAGTTCATACGTTCAGGAAAAGGAGGGGAGGTCACGTTTCGAGTTCATTACGTTCAGGAAAAGGAGGGGAGGTCATGTTTCGAGTTCATACGTTCAGGAAAAAGGACGGGAGGTCATGTTTCGAGTTCATACGTTCAGGAAAAGGAGGGGGTGGTCATGTTTCGAGTTCATACGTTCAGGAAAAGTAAGGGAGGTCATGTTTCGAGTTCATACGTTCAGGAAAAGGAGGGGAGGTCATGTTTCGAGTTCATACGTTCAGGAAAAGGTGTGGAGGTCATGTTTTCGAGTTCATACGTTCAGGAAAAAAGAGGGGAGGTCATGTTTCGAGTTCATACGTTCAGGAAAAGGAGGGGAGGTCATGTTTCGAGTTCATACGTTCAGGAAAAGGAGGGGAGGTCATGTTTCGAGTTCATATGTTCAGAAAAAGGAGGGTAGGTCATGTTTCGAGTTTTTCCATGAATTAGGAATCAGTAGCAACGATTCTCTGAGTCTGAGGCCAAGGCCTACAGTAGACCAGGAGGGGAGGGGGTGGAAGAGGAGGGAGGTGGGTTGAAGGGTGGGGCGGGGGATGAGAGAGGTGGGGGAAAGGGAATGGGAGGGAGAAGAGGAGGAAGGGGATTGGTAGAAACTATCTGTATCCACTCTTGTATGAATGGAAGGTAAAAGGTCAAAACAACTATCGGAGAAATGAACTGGATTAAGTTTATGACCTATAATGTGAAAGGGCTTAATACCCCCCCAAAGAAGACATACGATACTTAGGGAAGTCCAGCAATATTTGATAGACATAATATTTCTTCAAGAAACCCATCTAACTAGAAATACAAATGTGAAATTATATTCAAAACACCATCACACTTTGGTTATACGCTGATTCACCCGTAAAGGGGGCAAAAGGTGTAGCAATTGGGTTCTCAAAAGTACATTTTTCTCTGGAGGACAGAATGGAAGACCCAGAGGGTCAGTATCTGTTCATCAGTGGAAGGGTACAAGGAAGGGAATACACATTGACTTATACTGCCCCAAT